ATATATGTATGTGTGTATATTATAATTATATATTTTGATATTAAAATTTATATTTAATAAATACAATAGTATGTTAGTAATGTTAGTAATCTATTATAACCTATAATTTATGTTTCACTCAATGTTGTATTCAAATATAAAATATAAATTATAAAAATTATGTGAAATTATCGAAGTTTTTAAAATTATTTTATATTATTTTCTAAGTGAAATTGAATTACATTAATAATATTTTAACAGATTTATTCAATGATGAATAATACAAAAAAAATCAATGTAAATTTTTCATCTCTTGTGGGTTTAAAAGCAGAACTTTTAAAAAAACAACATGAAGTAAATGAAGCAAAATTGAAATCAGAAACAATTTATAATATTCCAAAATTACAGAAGAAAAAATCTTCAAAAACTGAAGAGGAACATAAAAATGAAAATTTGAAAAAATTAGAGTATATTGAGGATATTGATACTCATAAAAAGTCAAAATTAATGTTAGTAGCAAAGGCAAGGTTGTATGACCAATTAAAAAAATCTAAAACTACCAATGAAAATTTTCTTGTTGATTTCACAAATAAATCAGATGAATCTGAAGAAGAATTATTACAAAAAGATGAAGAAAATGCAACATTAGAAAATGAAGATGACTGGGTAGAATATGAAGATTGTTTTGGTCGCACAAGAAAATGTTTACGTGAAGATTTGTGTTTAATGCAAGAAAAAGATCAATTAATAAAACAACAAATAATAAATAAAAAAGGAATTGATCCAAAAACAAATAATATTATCGAACAAAATTATGCTCAAGAAGAAAAAGAACCTGAAATAGAAATTATGAGAAGAAAATGGGAAGAACAAACAAAAAAACTAACTGATAAAGTAAATATACATTATCAAGATATTTTATTTGATGAAGCTAGAACCCATGGTGTTGGTTATTATGCATTTTCACAAGATGAAGAAGAGAGAATCAAGCAACAGGAAAATTTATTCAATTTAAGGAAGGAAACAGAAAGAAAACAGAAAGAAATAAAAGAATTAAAAGAATTGAAAGAAAAAATGGAATATAATAGATTAAAAGCAGCTAAAATTAGGCAGCGTATTAGAGCAGGATTACCAATAGATGTAGTAGAAGAAGAATTCAGAAAAAAAAATAATGAATCTAATCAAAATCCATCAGATAATATACATGTTGCAGAAAAGAATTTGATTGAAGTCAAAGAAAAAGAAAGTAATGAAAATCAAAATATAGAAATAAATAAAGAATTAGAAAAAGAAAATAAAATAAAAGTTTTAGGAGAATTTCTAGGAAAAAGAAGTCATTGGTATGAAATGTCTCAGGAAGAATGGATTCATAAATGTAGAAAAATTAGAGTTAATGAATTTGGACCAGTATATGAAAATTTCAAAAGTGCTGGTTATTTAAACTCTGAAAATATTAATGTAGCATTAAGAATTAATAATGAGGAATTTCAATCATATGAAATGAATATTCAGAGTAATATAAAAACTAATAATAAAGTAAATATAGATACTTATAATATACCACTTCCTCCTAATTTAATTATAAATGATCCTAATATTGAGAATAATAAAACAATAAATCAAAATAATTTTACCCAACAAATTCAGCTTAGACAACAAGAATCCAACAATATATTACAGAATCAGATGATACCAAATAGAAATATAGACGAAGCAAGTATAGCAGCTGGTCTTAAATATTTGAGAGAAAAATTTGAAAAAAGTCAAAACACTTGAGATATTTATAAAATATATTTATATAATAATATGTTTAAATATATATGTTTGTAATAATGTACATATAGACATTATCATATATCATTCTCTTTATACCAAAGAATATGCAATTTAACTTATAGAAGTTCATATTTTAAATGTAAAATATGGAAAAATAATTATTAAAAATAACATTTTTGAGATGCCAATATTTATTTCAAAATGCAATTTAATTTTATAAACTATTTTATCATATAAATTGAAGTTAAATATAAAAAAATAATGTTCATCTTTATTCAAATATCCTTATTCAAATAGAAAATTTATGAATTTGTGCTTCTGGTATAAAAGAGATGATAGATGATTAAAAAATTATAATAAAATTATTTACGATAATAAAATATATTTATAAAAAATGTTTTATAGTTTAACTATATTTAATTTTTTCTTTTTGAGAATTTTTTATTAGATAATTTTATTTTATCCATACTTTCTTCTGTTAGATCACAGTCATCTGATATACCTATAAATATTAATTTTATTTATAAAAAGTAAAGAATTCATTAATTTTATTCATAAAAAAATAACATTACCAGATAAATCAATATCTGAAATCACTGTGTTGCAATTAGAACACTTTATGGAATTATAAATCATAATAAATTTCTTTAAACAATATAAATGAAAGGAAGTTCCACAATTATTACATTTTTTACCCTAATTAGTAAAAATAAATATTAGTAGGAAATCTTATATAATTATATATTTAATAACATAATTAATAACATACATGGAAAATGATTTGTTTGCAAAGATTACAAATATTTAAATTATTTTCATAAGTGGCTCTAAAATATGGCATTAATTCTGTTATACTTCTTACACCCATATAATAATAACCATCCTATAAATATTATAAAATCATAATATCAATAAAACACTATTAATTAATTATAGAATAATATATTGATATTTTATTTGTACCTTATAAGCCAACCATTTTCTATTAACTATATCATCAAGAAATTCTTCGGCTTTTGCTTTTGATATTTTTATATCTGGCAAAGAACATAAATTTAAACATATTGTACTTTGTATACATCCATTATTTGATGTTATAATTTCAGAAAATATATTTCTTAATAAAGCTAGTTGATCTTTTGAAAATTCAGATTGAAATCTAAAAAAATTGTACTAAATTATAATAAATATTTTCATAGATACTATTATTTAATAATTAGAAAAGTAAAATAAAAATATCAATTTATTTATTTATAAATCTATTCATTATAAATTCTAGATAAATTCCAAAAAAATATTTTTAACAAATTAAATTACAATTTTTTATGAAAATTTATAAAATATATAAAAACAAATATAATATTGATGTTATTTTAACAACAAATATACCTGGTTATTTCATCAAATACAGTGCTTATTAAAATCCAATATATCTGGCCTGTAATTTCACACCATGCTTTTTTAATTAACATGTTTAAAGGTTGTAATTGCTCATTTATTTGATTTATTATTATTGATACTTTATCATCATCTGAAATATATAATTTCATTTATAATATGAAAGTTATTTTAAATAAATGTAAAAATAGATATATACGCAATTGAATTCTTAGTTAAAATTAAATAAAAATTTACTTACTAAATAATTTAATAACGAATTCTTTTGCTTTATTTTCATTTAAAAAACCTTCATTCATAAGTATTTGTAAAATTATTTTGTGGTTATTGCTATAAACCATATTTTATTTATCTGATAAATATATGTAAATAAAATTATTAAAATGCGTTATTTTATTTTTTAAATTATTAATTGTTTATTATTGTTAAAACTGCAATATTTTTTAAGTAAATCAAAATTTTAATAAATATTCTGATTAATTTAATATAAATTATTATTATTATTATTATATTGACACTACCATCTTCGATCATTTACCAGAATTTATGTGTTTAAAAAATTACTATATGTAAGTATGATGTACATATAGTGTGTATATATATATATATATATGCTAAACAAAAAATTTTGCGTATATTTTTTGATGGTACTATTACAGGATTTTTTTATTTTTACGATTTCATGATATTGTTTTTTAATTCATAAAAAAACATATCTTTATTATTTTTTACGAATACAAAATACAAAATAATGAAATGAAAAAATAATTTTGAAATATATTTCTCAATGTTTCTTAAATTATATTAAAGGAAAATAATTTTTTTCAGAAAAAAACGCAATTATAAAATAAAAAGAATAAGTAAATAATTTTTTTAAATTAAGAATTACTATTGCATTATACTGAATTTCTAATATTATCTTCGATGAATAAGTATAGGACTATGACTAAGTTAAAACACGACAATATTAGAGACTATTATGAGAATATTATGAAAGAAAAACAATGAATGAAAGATGTGGAGTTAAGGGTTGAACATGATTTATTTTATTTATTGATTTGAATATTAACATCTATTTATTAAAAACGACAAAGGAAATATCTCCATATGATAAATGGATTAAGAATTAAAGAATTAGTACGTACACATCAGAACTATCTGCTGCATAGTACAAGTTGTATCGCGAGGGCGCGAGGCCGCGACCCTGAGCCTGATACGCGGAATAGAACATTTCAGTAGCAGAATAGTGCGCGAATACGTGTCAAACTCGGTCCACGGATAAGCGTAAAGTGGAACATCGTAGTGTACAGCTATCTGCTATCGTTTCGTACAGAAAGGTCGAGAGTTCATGATCATACACTGCTTTAAAACGATGATTTTACGAAGTGTTTGACGACGATTTCTTTTTCTTTATTATCACTGCCGACTGATCAGAAACTACAGACGTTAAAGTTTTTCTTTATATCTTTTTGTGTGAATATTTGGTTAACAAACGCATAACCTGTTAAAATTATTATAGAAGATTTAGGGATTTGAAATTAAGTGTGTGAAAATTATACTACAATAATATAATCCGAAGATGCCACTCTTCGGTAAAAAAGATTCAAACAAGAAGATTAAAAAAGATGGAAAAGATGATAAATCGCCGTCTGTTGAGGACAAATACATCCTAAAGGAATTACTTGGAACGTATGTATATTATATATGTATATCAATACGGATTACATATCAAAAAATAATAGAATCATTTGTATGAGATTTTTATATTTATATTCTTTATATTATATTTAAATTAAATTTTAAGTAATCTTTTGATTAACATGATTAATTATAAATTTTATTAAACATTAATTTAATTAAACATTAGGTTTTATTAATAAACATTACATTTATTACTAAAATTTTAAAAAATTATAAAAATTATAGAAAATTAATAAAACTATTTTTTTTTTTAATATTATCAAGATATTTATATACAAATTTTGAGCAGTTTATTTTTAATACTTATTTTTTATAAAAAATAGATTTATTTTGTGACATTTAATAATTATTTAATAATAATATTATTAACATTTGATATAATTTAATTATTTTATGCATGTATATTTCTTATATAGATAATTTTAAATTTTGTATATTTTATTTTATGTTTAAATTAGAGTTTAAATTATAAATAAAAATTATAAATTACAATAAAACAAGCAAGGCAATAGTGATTTATATTTGCTATATTTATAAAGAAAATTTTTTAATT